TTTCAAGACTTGGGCTGTGACACTGCAAGATTCCAGCTGACTCAGGGTGAGGTGTGCTCCTGCACACACAGCTACGCCATGTGCCTGACAGGACAAAGGTCTTAGGGAGCAAAGGTGAAATTCTTTCCCACCATTTGAAAATAAACACTCAATTTGTAATTCTGATCTAGAATTCCCATACTAAAATCCTTACCATCATTTCACTTCCATTGTGCCATGGTGTAGGGTCAAATAAGTTATAATAAAATAGAAATTATTTCCTTCCTAAAATTATTTTCCTCAATCCATCAGTAAGAGAGAAATAAAACTGGTCCATCAATGCTTATATCCTACAGGCATCTACCACAACAACCAATCCCAACTTGGGCAAATCTCTCCATGCACTGACAATTTTACAGCCTACTGTTTGTAAAATTTTAATTTTAATTCCACAAGAAGTTATTCCTTGTCTAGACTACAGACAACAAAGAGCAAGCAAGGTGCTTCTGGAGTTCTACCTCTGCACTTCAGCTGAAAGCAGGGGGGAATATAAACAATAATCTAATGTTTAATGTCATGTTACTAATTTAAGAAAACAAATCAGAAACTACTAAATTAAAATATAAACAAACTTTGCAAATTGAAGATCTCTGATTAGTAAAAATATCCATATTAAAAGAAATTACTGAGACTTATTTTAAAATAGAGTCATCAATATTTGCTCATTAGTAAGCTTCTACATCTTCCACAAAAAAAGCCAAAGACAAAAAAGAACCTCAAACTCAATGAAGTTGTTTTCACTTTCATGACCATGTTAACTCATCTGTATTACAAATTCTGAAAAAGGAGGGATTTTTAAATTATCTCATAATGCATTATAATTTAAAATACTCTATTTTAAACAGTCTTGGGATTTATAAAAGCATGGTTTTGATAGCTCAAGTGATACCGTACATTTGACTTAATATTCTTTTTTCCTGTTAGATTTCCAAGGTGTCATTCATACATTTCACAACTTAATCAAACAACGTGGAGCTACAGAGCTCCTTGTACATCTCAGCATTGGCCTGGGGATGCCCTGCACGGATGAACTAAAGCATTGCTACCTCAAATTTTTATTATTATTACTGAAGTTAATGAAGTAACACCAGGCCTGACTGTCCCAAGTCAGGCTGACGTGGTTAAACCAATTCTGTGCTGTGTTCAACTCCGTGCTAAAGTCAGTGACAGCTGACAGCTGTCCCCAAAAGGCCCGGTGACACTCCACCTAGCAGAAATATGCTCACTGCACGGGACACACGGGATGGGATGGGCTGGGAAGCAGCCAGGTGAAGGCACCATCTGCTCCAGTCCCCTCACAGTTGGGTTAGGTGAGGCCAATCTGGGTGAGCTGCACCCCAAGCCAACCCTTCATGCACAGCTCTGCATTTCCTGCCTGACACACCACAGACTCTGCAGCCACAGCCTTGCAGGCAACGATTACTGTCCTGCACAAAATGCCCATGAGTAATTCAAGACGTTCCTGTATTGAACTCCAATAACAGCACTCATTTTTGGAGGCTACTTTCCCTAAGAAGCACAAATATGGTTTGCCAGTTACAATTAAACTAAATTTGAAAATTTCCTTTAAAGAGCCTCATAAAGCAAAAAACCATGTTTTAAAGGTGATGATAAACTACCCCAAACATTACAAAAATAAATAAATCCCTCTAAAATTAGATGATCACATTGTAAACAAAATCCTGTATCTACACCCTCACACACACTAAAACAGAGCCAACAGTCCAGATGAATCAGCAGATTCTTAAAAGTAGGTATGAAAGGAAAAGTTCAAGCACTGACAATACCACCTACATTTTTGCACTTTTGTACAATGCATTATTATAAAGCTACAATAATATTCTGAAAGGATTAGTCACTGAGGTAGTAATTTTGAGAACATCAATTTGCAGCCTGTGACTAGAACAAAAACAAGTGATGCTTGATATGGGTGGACTGAAGTGCCTCTCAAAAGCATGCACAATTCAGACCATAACACACATGAATAGAAGATGCAAACAGCTCAAAAACAGAGCCAAAGCTCTCTGCTTTTGTAATTCAGAAATTCCATACAAGCTTAGTGATGAGAAGGCACACTACATTCAGTACCTAACTGCCACAACTATGCAAGTCCCCAGTTTTACTTCTATCATTGTGCTCCTACTGACAGAACTTACTGAAGTCAGCCCCTGTGAGGCCCAAGGGAACGCTACAGACACACACGGCAGTGCCAGACAGGTGTCAGCACATGTGAGCTGTGACCAGCACAGTCACTGCTTGCAGCTGCAGCTCCATCAGCAAAACCACACTTCTGACAGTGCTGCTGATCATTATTTTGTGTAGCTGTATTCACACCAGGCCCCACTGGCACCTTTAGCACTGACTGGCTCCTCAAAAAGGCGGTTTTGTCATTGTTCTGCAGCGCTGCAACCACTCAGGGAAACTTCCCCAAACTGAGTACAGAGTTATTCTTAGCATTAAGCAGCCTGCATGGCCCCAGTGTTTCTGAATGATGCCTTCTCCCACCAAAGGAATCACAACAGGCAGCTCTAAGTATGCAGCTAGCTGCCAAAAGCATGGCAGAGGTACAGTGTTGATCCTTCTAAAGTTTTACACCATTTGGGAGGGCAAGGGCATTTGTCAAAAAAATGAGGGTTTTTTGTACGTGCACCAAAAGCTGGAAAGAAATAATTTACAATTCACTTTCTGTAAAAATGAAGCCAATACATGAGAGAAAGATGATCCCAGGAGCCTATATGAAATAATGAGAAACTCACATGATGCCTAATTCATGCTTACTTAGAAACAGAGACCAGTCAAAGTTAAAAGATAAAAGCAGATATATTTAATGAAGGGCCCTTCAGGTACGTGAAGAGCAGATGAAGCCTCCCCAAGGGGCTACACCCAAAATGGACCATGGGCATAAGTTTTCCACACAGATGTAAGTTTGGTCTGTTTACAGATCAGGGGTTAATCCTCCAATTACAGCTTCAGGTAATGAAGTCCTATTCCCCCAGTTTGCTCCCCCCCCCAAATCACTTTTGTTTATACTTTTCAGGGCCTGAGGCTGTAGGGTGTCTTTGGATAACAGGCCCAGAGGGACTGTTTTGTCTAATCAAAATGTGAAGACAGTTATCTACAGTTTTAATGGAGTTTAGAGCTATGCACTAATGCAGTACAGGACTTGAAAAATACAAAAGCAAAAATCTTAAGGCATCATATGGAACCCAAAAACATTTCCCACAGCAATCTCTGCCGTAGTACGCTTTCACAGAAGTTCAGCTAAACTGCATTTAGAAGTAGTTTTTATTACTATTCAAATAAATTCTTTCTTTAGTACTGTACAGAGCTTCTGAAAATCAGCAGCTCTTTCAAGGACACTCTAGGAAGTCTATGCAACCATGATGCCCAAAACTGTGTGTAACTGATTTGCACTGATGCAGCACAGGCACTCTGGGAAGCGATGTAGAATCATGAAATCTGTGCACCAGTCACTATCAATCTCATCATGAACCACAACCTCTACTGCACACAGTGAAGGTTATGCATCAATTTCAGTTTCCAGTCCTTTACATGCTAATATTTGCCCTTGGAAATGTATGCCTGCATAACATTAATAAATTTGTCCCATATAATTATAATAGACATAATTCTGATACATTTGCATGAATTACTAAGTGTAAAAGAAGATATTATGGCAGTTGTTTACTTCTGTAGAAGGAAACATGTTCAGGAAGAAACACTATGAGCAAGTCAGGGTCAAAAGTTGCAAAGTACCTGAAGTGTACAGCTGAGGACCAGGGCATGTTCTGCCAACTCCTACTTAAGCTGGGGAGTATTTATGGCATTTTGACTCATGTAATGCCAGTTTACATGGCCTAATGAACAGACATGTCTTAAGATAAACAGAAGATGAATCAGAGGAAAAGCTGCATAATCTAAATACAGTTCTGTATACAATCTCTTGTAATCTCTTTTATTATGCCAAAATGCAAACTTCACTGTAATTTTAATATCTTATATTGCAGAATTTTTGCTCATTTCCTCATTGTACTACCAAACCTTAAAAGTTCCCAAGAATCAAACTTGCTTTTAGTGCACAATAATAAAAACTTAAGATTTTTTTTTTACCCAATTAAAATTCAAAAATACAAATGGAAACACTCATTAGCTTCCCACACACTCATCTCCAATGACAACGGGGAGACTCAGTATTTTTACAGTGAATTAAAGTGACCCCTACAGATCAGGCCACTTCTAAAAACACTTTGTCCTTTCTGTCATTCTTCCGAAGTCCTGTGCCCTTCAGCGCTCGACTAAACATTTGCTTACCCTGTCCAATCAGCGAGATCTGGATAAATCACTCTGCTTCGTTCCCATCAATAAACACGAGGAAATCAAATAGCCTGATACAGCTGACAATTAACCGCTGCTAACCCTGCGCACGACAAATCGACTGAACCTAAACTTGACAGAGACCAAGCCGGCGGCCGCGGCTCACGTGGATGAACCTCCCCCGGCAATTCGGGTTGTGCGAGGCTGCGTGCGTCCCACATCCCCCCGGCGAGGCAGCTCCACGGCAGACATCGCCTCTGGAGGGAAATGACAGGAGGGCTCCGAGTCCTTTCCCCCTGGAAGACCCGGAGAGCGACTGCTGGGGAGGTGCCACCGGCCACGACACCCGCGATCGATCGATCGCCCGCGGGGGGGACGAGCCAAGGAGACATCTCCTCGCTTCCCAGAATTCTTACTACACTACAAGCCTGGGATGGTGTGGCCTGATTATACAAAAAATAATAATAACAGGGAGGCAGGGAGATCAGAGATAAACACATCATCAGGAGGGGAGGGTTTTTCCCCTCTATTAAACCTGAGTCATCGCTGCTCCCATTTCTGAAGGCCCGACAGTAAAAGCACCGATAACAGGGCGGGGGGCGACAGAACCGACACAGACACGGGCACGGCCGGGCGCCGCTCCTTACCTTCCTGCTCGCTCCTCCGAGGGACACCTTGGGCCTTGTTTTGAAATCGCCTTCAAAGCTGAACATGTTTACAGCTTATCCCATGGGGAGCGGGGCCCGGCCGGCCGGCAGGGCGAGCGGAGGGGCCGCACGAACCCCCCGGGCTGGCGCCCCGCGGCCCGCCCGCCCCCGCGGGGCTGCTCCCCCGTCCCCCGCCTTCTCTGCGGCCTTCGCTATCCCGGTCGCCCCGTTCCTGACCGGCGGCGACGGCGGAGCGTAGTGGGAGGAGGGAGAAGGAGGAGGAGGGAGCGGAGGAGGGGGCAGAGGCAGCGCTCCCGCCGGCCGCGCAGAGAAGATGGCGGCCGCCCGCCGCCCGTCGGGCGCGCTCCCGACACACGGCCGCGCCCGCCGCCCCGCCCCCGGCCCGCGCCGGCCGTCCCGGCTGCGGGTGTTCCACGGGAAACTTCCCTGCTCCACGGGAAACTTCCGTGCTCCGGCTGTGCAGGGGCGACTGGGGTGTACTGCCGCATCCTGCCCAGACGGGCCGCGCTGAGGGCGAGAACCGAGCTGAGGATCCACCCGGGCTTTGGCGTAGGGCTGACCCCCTCAGCGTCATTTAGCTACGGGAACACAGTTGCTACACACACACACACATACATGTACATAATTTGTACTTTTAGTAGCATAAGCATATCACAGAATGAATAAGGTTGAAAAAGACCTCTGAGATCATAAGAGTCGAACTTTTGACCAAACACCTCCACCAACCAAGTGCCACATCCAGCTCCTAAATAACTCCAGGGACAGTGACTCCACCTCTCTGGGCAGCCCCATTCCAATGTTTAGTCACCCTTTTCTGTGAAAAGATTCCTCCTATGTCCTACCTGAGCATCCCCTGGTGTAAGTTGAGGCCAGTTCCTCTCATCCTGTGCTGGAAGAAGAGACCAAGCCCTTCCTGGCTACACCTTCCTTTCTGGGAGTTGTAGGGAGAGTTGAGAATTCACAGAATCTTAAGATCATCAAGTCCAATCCAGCCCCAACACCTCAACAAAACCATGAGTGCCACATCCAGTCTTTTCTTAAAGACATCCAGGGATGGTGACTCCACCACCTCCCTAGGCAGGCCATTCCAGAACTTTATCACTCTTTCTGTAAAAAACTTTTTCCTAATACCTAATCTATATTTCCCTTGATGCAGCTTGAGGCTGTGTGCTCTGGTTGTGTCAGTGCTGCCTGGAGAAAGAGCCCAGCCCCAGCTGAGCACAGGCACCTTTCAGGAGCTGTGCAGAGTGAGGAGGGCACCCCTGAGTCTCCTTTTCTCCAGGCTGAGCACCCCCAGCTCCCTCAGGGGTTCCTCTCAGGGTTTGTGTTCCCAGCCCCTCTCCTGCCTCGTTGCCTCCTCTGGATGCACTCAAACATCTCAACGTCCTTCCCAAACTGAGGGGGCAGAACTGGACACAGCACTCACCAGTTCCAAGCACAGGGGAAGAATGACCTCTCTGCTCCTGCTGGCCACACTGTTCCTGACACAGGCCAGGATGCCATTGGCCTTGGTCACCAGGTCATTCCGGAGTCTCTTCTTCTCCATGAAGAGATGGACATGGCCCCATTGCAAAGATGTCTTGAGAAGGGTGAACACTGAACAAACACACTGATACAGGCTTCCGTGTAGCCATGACAATACACTTGGGAAAATACACATGATAGAGGTGGAGTCAGGAATGGGACCTCAGCTGATGAGGAGTGGAAAGAGAAAAAGGCTGTAATGTAAAAGCAGCAGACCCAAATGGTGAAACTACACCTGAGGCTGCTTTACATTTTGTAGCCCATTCTCCATTTTTTCAGCGTCCCTCCAGATACAGAGGTGGCATAGACAACAACAGTAACAAAAAGCAATTACTCAGTCTGCAACTCAAGGTGGTAAATAAATATAGGTGGCTGAATCCAGCTTTCATTCCCTTCAGTGGAAATTTGATTTCACAAGCTCTAGCTTGTGAATTCTCACATCAGCATATCACAACAAACAAATGGCAAGCACCCACATCAGGAGAGGATGTATGTGCTTTGCAGCTGTTCATACCAAGAGCACAATGCTCTTTAACTGTTGTCAAGCTGACTGGAAAATGAAATATTTGTTCAGATTTCATTGGATTTAGATGATTTAGAAGAGTCTAAGTTTTAAAATTTCAGACTTTTCATAAGGGAATGAGGGCTTAGCGAGAGTAAGCATTTGCCTGGCATTTCCCCAGATAACGTCATCTAGTATAAGCAAGCCTGGCCTCCCTAAATACTGTTTACAAATGCAGATGGGGTTTAGGATATTGTGAAATACGATGTCAAATGTTTGTTCATAGTTTCAACACACTGCATTGCTGATGAAATATCCCACCACTCTGTATTGAAATGATAGTAAGTTTTTTCCCAAACATGACAAGATTCTTTTCAATTTGATTTGGGCCTTGATAAACTTTTTATAAGTCTCATACAAAAAAGGACTAGTCTAGGTGTCTCTAGCAGTTAATTAATTAATTTTCATTAGCACAGAAGCAATCTGGTAAGTCATGAGTTTATGCCATCTTTATCAGTAGCAAAGACAGCTTAGAGACATAATCTCTCCTTATGTAAGAAGTGAAAGAAACTTGAAACTGCAGAGAGCAGAGTTTCTATGAAGTAAGGTTTTCACTGATACACATTTGACATGTTCCAGCTTCAGTGTGAGAAGGACACAAGATCTTCTGCTGACCCTGGCTGTTACCTTCTGCAGAAGTGGTTGGTAAATGGCACAGGCCCAGTTGATGAGTGTCTGAGAAGTCTTGGTGATTTCTGGCATGCCCAGCACAAGAAGGACATCAGCCTGTTGGATTGAGTCCAGAAGAGGCCACCAAGAAGATTAGAAGGATGAAGCACCTCCCATATGAGGAAAGGTTGGGAGAATTGGGGCTGTTCAGCCTGGAGAAGAAAACATTGTGGAGTGACCTCATTGTGGCATTCCAGTACCTGAAGAGAGCCTGCAAGAAAGATGGAAAGAAAGTTTTTACCATAGAATATAGTGACAGGACAAGGGGGAATGACTTTAAACTGAAAAAGAGTAGGCTCAGATTAGATGCTAGAAAAAAATTCTTTACATTGAAGGTGGTGAGGTGCTGTAGCATCTGTCACAGTTGAGACAGCCATGAGTGGCACCATACAATCTCAGAAAGATTCATCCCATACAGAACAACATCATATGACATCAGAAAGCTGTGTGTGCCCTTCTTGCTCCATAGCTCAACCTTTTCTACCCCTGATTGTTCATGCACTGCACCTGTGTGCCCTCTGCTCCCTTTGGTGGTTGGTCAGTGCCCCTGGGCACTCCATGGCTCATTGCTGTCAGTGCTGCTCACCTGCTGCTCACAGCTGTGCCACTGGGGATGAGGCTGGCCCACAGCCCCATCCCAATCACCACAAACTGTGTACCTGCAGTGAGGCACTGGAACAGGCTGCCCAGAGAAGCTGTGGATGCCCCATCCCTGGAAGTGTTCAGGGACAGGTTGGATGGGATTCTGAGCAACTTGGCCTGGTGGGAGGTGTCCCTATCCATGGCAGGGGGATTAGAACAGGATGATCTTTAACGCCCCTTCCAACCCAAGCCATTCTGTTATTCTATGATCTACATATGCCCCTCAAGGCCATGGCTGGTTTAATATTCTCAGGGAGCAGCAAAAACACGTTGTTCTATGAAGCAAGCAAAATGGATGCCCCCTGCACGGGCCCTCCCAGGTCAGAACATAATTCCACAGCAACCAGAGAGAGAGGGCAGAGCCTGGCAGTGGTGACACAGAATTCAGCTGCAGGTAGGGTGAGTGGACGAGTCCTGAGAGGCCAGACAGTGCTATGATGTAGTCCAAGGTGCATCCAGGAGGAAGGGCTGGAGACAGGTACACCTGAGCTTAGAGGGACCGATGAGCAGTGGGGTGAGTGAGAGGGGGCCCCAGATATGGATGTTCAAGGCAATCCAGGGCCCTGAGAAACACATCCTCCAGGATGTAGGAGTATTGCCCTTGTATATGTGCTGTGTTAACCCACCTGCCTCACCTGCTGCAATCTTTCTCATCTTTTTCACCTCTTTATTGCACACTCCTCAAGACTTTTTGTGTTCTCACAGTTCTCTGCCCTGTGATTGTACCTTTTTGCCTCTGCACACATGTGTACACGCTGCTCCCAGATACAGGTGGCTTGGTTCAGTTGTTTGTCAGATGCAGTCTATTAAAAAGATGCCATTCCTCAACATTTTCTTCACTCCCTGAAATCAAGTTTCCCAAGTGTGTGCAGATACCCTCCTTTTCTTGTAAATGCACGCCACAGAAATTAAAACAGCAATGCAGAGGTAGTCACAGTTGTAGAAAACATGAGTAAATTGTGTTTCAATCCACATTACAGAGAAACTTATCTATAGGGTGTCTCTAGGGCTTGCTTCTAGGTACCAAGGGACAGGAAAAATCTGTGGTGCCCATATGGCTGTCGTAAGAGCTTCCTTTTTCACTGTGAGTGGCTCGGAGCAAAGCCATCTTCTGAATGTCTCTTGTTGAGCAGAAGAAAAAGAAGAATGAAGATTTGGTGGGTAGCAGTAATAACAAGAAAAATTATTCCTTCCCAGCAATGACAAACATCTTGAGTTGTTGTGCTGGGTGCCAAGGATAACATTACAGAGGTGGCTTACAAACTTTTAAAATTATGAGCTCCTGGTACCTTAATGTAAGTTGCAGCACACTCTGCCTCTGCCAGGGAGATTTTTTTATTTTTGTAAATACTCTTTATGCATATTAAAACAAATCAATGGCACTTAAATTTTAGAAGGAAAATAAATATTACTCATGTTTTACCCTTTTAATGAGCACTGTTTTATGTCTACAATCTTGTTTCTATTCTCAGACTATCCCCAAACAATTTAAGTTCTGATGCATTGTCCTTCTGGCCTCATTCTGTACACACATTCCTGATTTAGACAGGGTAAACAATCAAGACTGTATTTGGCAATTGCTCAGTTCTGTAGGATATGATGGCCAAATTGTCACCACCTCACCATTACATTCCATTCCCTATGCAATTATATTAAAGTGTCCTAAACTTTTTTGCTGACTTGCTGATGTCAGATGAAAATCTAAGATACACTGACAGCACCTCATTATGTGCTACATTATTTCCCAAGGTACAGAAAGATTTTTTTTACAAGAGTGCATAAAAAATGAACAGTAAATAAGTTAGAAATGCTTTAATTTACAGGAGATGAGGCTTGAGATTAGTCCAAATGCTGTGATAGGCCAATATCTGATTTTTAGTAATGCTTTTAGTAAGGTTTGCTACCATATGGATTGACGGTGGGAGGTAATTTTTTTT